TATATATATATTGTGAATTGGGCGAAGGTGTACATAGGAAATCAGATTTACATTCAACCATTCACACACATCTTGTTTTACATCATTCATTGCAACCCTCACAATGTACTATCACTTCCTCCACTTCCCCCCTGTGTTTCCCATTTCCAATCCTACTTCTTTCCTAACCCTTCCTGTCTCCTGAATTTTGTTCTTGTGAAAATGATCTTAAGTGGTTATTCCAAGGAGTATATATCATCCTGGCATTAATGTTCATCTTCTTTATTGTTATGGTTAAGTGCTGCTGAGTCCTTTCCATACTGTATACGATTTCTGAGGAGCAACTGGTGGGTTTGAATCACTGACCTTGTGGTTAGCAGTCTACTGCTTATCCACACCAGGACTCCTGTTCACATTATAGACCTATCTATTGTTTGGCTGAAAACTGAGCCATGGGAGTGAGTTCAGTTTCAAGTCTGAAACTAATGGTCATAGTCTTTATTTCACATTTTTCTCCTACTTAATCCTAGACCTTCTAATGGGATCCCTTTCAGATCAATTGGTAGTCTGGGTTGGGCACCATCTAGTTCTTCTGGTTTCAAGGTCATGGAGACTGATGTTCACATGTTCTATTAGTCCAGTGGACTAATTTTTTTTCCATGTGTCTTCAATTTTCTTCACTCTTTTTTTTTTTTTTTACTCCTGATGGAATTACACTCATAAATGCACATTAGATGGCTGCTTGTATGGCACTGTGGACTGCAAAGTTGGTTTAAACCACAAGGACGGTGGTTCAAACTCACCCACAGCTCCTTGGAAACCCTATACAGGGTCACTATGGGTTGGAACTGACTGGATGACACTTAACAACAACAACAACATGAGGTTTTAAGACCCCAGTCACTACTCATCAAAATAGGATGTTAAGTATTGTCTTTGTGGCCTATGTTATGTCAATTGACCTTGGTTGGTGTCTCCTGAAGAGCATCTTACTTGTATAGTAACAAGAATCTTAAAGTAAACAGGTCCTTTCAAGCGGAACCAAATGTAAACATTGTAGCAAAAGTAGTATATTTATTTTTAAATTTTATGGATACTATACATATAAAATAAAACAAAACAAAAACAAATTGAGGTGGCTTTGAAAACAGATTAAAGTGAATCGTAATGTAAAAGAAATGGCTAAAGGAACACCACTAGGAAAAGAAAATGAATCCAGGGATACTTTCAAATCTGGTCAACATGAAGGAAATCATGAGTTATTTCATCTATATGCAAACCTTGCACGAGATATTCCTTTGAGCATGTTGAAACACACTGCAGATTTTACTTCTTTTTGCTGTGAGTACAGGTCTAACTCAGAGAAAGAATCATAGTCAATGGGACACATGCTTCACATGTTACAACATTATAGATTAACTACAGGAATGACAACTGACTTTATCAACAATTATCCACTGCCTGTGGCATGCACATTCAAGGCTGTGGGAGCCAACATTGTACCTTTCGACTGGGGTGTGGGGTGGCCATGACCAGTCCAGGCTGACCTCCTGGGTGGTTCATAAGGTAAATCTGTAAAGACAAATACATTGAGTAAAAAAAATCAATCATGCAATCTTTATGATAGCATATATATATATATATATATATATATTTTTTTTTAATGTGTGTTTATTAGAATAAATATTATACAGGAATTTTCACTAATTAAGGGAAATATTTTCTTTGGACTCCTCTAGATTTGGGCTTTTTAAAATTTTTAACAAACTATCATTTTGACTATCTTATTAAAGTTCTGAATTTTTCACCTATTCGAGTGAAAATCCCCATGGACAAATTCCCACAGAACTTACTGACTCCCTTAGAGTAGTTTCGATGTGAGGTCAAGATGAGAATTTAAAAGTTTTTTACTATGTAATTTGTCCAGCTTTCCACAGAGGCTGATTTAAAGCCATTCCTTTGATATCTGCATCATACCCACCCAAGACAGTGCTCACTGATTGACGAAATCAACCAATTAAGAGCTCCACAGGATAAATACTGGACTGCGAACCACAAGGTCGGCGGTTCGAGACCACCAGCCACTCCACGGAAGAAAGATGAGGCTTTCTGTTCCCACAAAGATTTGAAACCTCAGAAACTCTATAAAGGGTTGCTATGAGTTAGAACCGACTCCACAGCACATAACAACAACGAGAAGTAACAACAATCTCCTTGTTTCCTTGTTGGCAATGATCACTTTGCCTTTATCCTTTCATTTGCCAGCTACCACTCTGGGCTGCCCCTCATTTCTCTTTATAAGCTCACCTGTTTATACTAAGTCAATCCTAACTGGTCTAATTAATTTTCTAGATAGATGGCTACTTCCTTACTTTCTCTAAATGAATTTAGAATTTCCATTAAATATGTTGCAGGACTGAAACAGTATTTATTGCACCACAATATATTAAAAAGGACCATCAGATTTTAAGCACATGACAGTAATTTCATTTAATTTATAGTATCATTTATCTCTTTAATCTTCATCTCATTTTTGCATATGCAAATACCCATACTTCTGTGTTCTCAGTGAGAGCTCAATTGGTGATTATTAAGGATCTAATTCATTTCTGGTGATCTGCTTCTGAGAAATCAGCTATCGAAGACCCTATGTACCACCTATGAGACCATCATGACTTGGAATCCACTAGACAGCAACTGTACTGTACTGTACTAGAAGCAATTTCAAGTTTCTTTCCAAAATATACCCCAGAAATATTACTGTGCATGCTTACCACCTATTGCATACCTAAGAGACACTTCTAAATGCAGGCATTTTAGGAAGTGGTAGTCCTCACCTTCCATGAAGGAGACCCAGGTTCTATTCCCTGACCATGCACCTCATGTGCACCACCATGTGCCTGTCATTGGAGGTTTTCATGTTACTATGATGCTGAACAGGTTATTTCAGCAGAGCTTCCAGAGTCAGGTGAACTAGGAAAAATGGCTGGGTGATCTACTTCCAAAAAACAGCCAATGAGAACCCTCTGGAGCACAAGTTCGATCTTCAACCGATCGTGGGGTGTCACAGTCCCAGGCAGCATTTGGTGCCATTTGTGCACGGGGTTGCCATGAGTCAAGGGTCAACTGAACAGTGGCTAACAAGAACAACAATATGCAGTCTCAATGCAGAACCATTTTAAACCTATGTTCTTCTTGGATGGATGGACCTTAGTTCAAGGCCAGGTGACAAGCTCAACGAAAGCCATTGCCTGACACAGTCATACCTCATTTTATTAATGTATTGTGCTTTGCAAACATTGGGGGTTTTACAGATTAAAGCTATGTGACCATCCTGCATCCAGCAGATCTATCTGTGCAATTTTTCCTTTAGCATGTGCTTACTTTGTGTCTTTGGATCACATTTTGATAATTCTCACTATATTTCATAAAGCTATTGCACACTTAACAGACTATAATATAGTGTATGTGTAACTTTTATATGATTCGCTTTATTGAAACATTCGCTTTATTGTGGTGCTCTGGAACCGAACCCAGGATATCTACCTCCAATATCTGCTTGCTTCCAGCGGATGCTTTATCATGGCATGCCTGAAGATGGCTATACAATCTTACCTTGAGGGCAGGGTAATGTAATTACTTTTCAGCCTGTCTGTAAAGAAATCATTTAGCATTTGTTGGGTCAATCTTCCAAGAGTTGGCTCTGTTCTAGAAGATGCCTCTCTTCCTATTTTCATATGCCCACGAGGATAGAAATGGAGAGCACCGTGAAATGTTTTGGCAGTCTTGATTTGTTCAGTGTGTTTGACTACAAGTATCAACACTAGTGTGATCTGTTAAACCTGATCCCCCAGAATCTTGGTTGAAGTTAGACAAGTTTTCTCTTTAAACTCTGCTCTTGATTACCACCCCCTTTCTGCTGGCATTATTGCATTTTGAGACATTGAATCTTTCTCACCATTAGGAAAGGCTCTCCTAAGGGGGTTTGGGCTCCAAATCTGTTGTTACTGTTAAGTGCTGTAGAGTTGGTTCTGACTCACAGTGTGACACTGTATAGGGTTTCTAAGGCACAGTTGGTGGGTTTGAACTGCCCACCTTGTGGTTCGCAGTCCAATGCTGAACCTACAGTGCCACACCTGTAGCCCACCATCAATTTACAACTAAATTTCAACGTCCATTTCTGCGAACTCTTTGCACACAGATTCTCATCCAGTAGTATTTTGTCTAAATACTGGTTAACCAGGGAGTCAATTTGGAAATGATCTCAAACAACAACAAAAAAATCTAATAGCAAGGCAATCCTAACATCATCCAAGCTAATGCAAGCGCAGACGGGCATGCAGATAAGGGGCTTCTGTTTACCAAACAAGTGAAAGAAATGAGACATAGCAGGAATATAGCCTACATCCTTGTTTCTCAAAATGTGGTCCACGGACCAGCTGCAACATTAATAATATCTGGGACACTATGAGATATGCACGATCTTAACCTAGGCGTAACAGCTGCCATGGAGTAGGCTCCTACTCACAGCAACCCTTATGTGTAAGAGCAGAACTGTGTTCCACATAGAGTTTTCAATTTTCAATGGCAGGTAATTCCGAAGGAGATCTCCAGGTCTTTCTTACAAGATACTTTTGGGAGGACATGTACTTCTAGTCTTTCAGTTAGCAGTCAAGTGCCTTAATTCTTTGTGTCTTCGAGGGATTCCACTCCAGACCCACTGGATCAAAATCTTCATTTTAACAAGTTCCCAAGATAACTTAGAGATCATTAGTTTGAGCGGATCTGGCCCAGAAACTTCTATTATTGTCTTCTGGGTATCTGTGTTCCTACAGATAACAATTTCAGAAAAGTTGTCTAGAGTATGCCAATACAAATAAAAAAAAAAAACCAGTGAAAGAGTTCAAGACTGAATAATTATACCTAAAGTGTAATCATAGGACTAATCACAAGCATAAGTAGGTTAGTTCAGCTACTACATCAACCTAAAATATCGCTCATGGAAAATGATTGGGAAAAAATTCAATACCAGAATACTACTGAAAAAAGATTTTGAAACTTGTTATTTATAAAATCCTTAGATTTTATGACCATGTCACATCCTGCCTTGAAAGTAAGTCAGGATCTAACCACCACCAAATTCAGTCTTATTTTTAGCTAGGAGTTTGACATGTTTATATGAACAATGATTAACATGTTCGTAAACAGGCTGCCATGGAAGATAAGGGGATTTTTGTTTTCATTCACGAAATTCTGGTCCAGTGTTTCCTTATCACTATTGATCACATGCTAGGGAAAAAATAAGTCCCCTTCCTATGGGATGAAACATTGGGAAATGTTGGACTGCACTTTGCTGAGATGGAAGACAACCAAGTGGTCTGTTCAGCAGCTATATCAACTTACAGCAGAAATAGTTTTTTGTAGTTTGTTTTTTTTTAAGTATCTTTACTTTTTAGCTGGAGTCCCTGAGAGGTACCAACAGTTAACATGTTTGGCTGTTAACTGAAAGGCTGTTGGTTTGAAGAAAAAAGACTTGGTGATCTGCTTCTCCAAAATCAGACACCAACCATCCTATGGAGCACAATTCTAATTTGAGACACATGAGGGTACCATGGGTCAAAGTCAATTCTATAGCAATGGTTTGGTTTATTCTTCAGTTACTTAAAAAATTCTTATTCCATGTACCTTGGCTGTATGTCTTTTAATAAAAGCATATTTTACATTTAATATCTTTGCTGACCACTTTAACACTGTCTTCTCCATGTTGCTTCTTTGAGTTAAACTTTGAACTTCAAGGTACTTAACTCATGTATGTGGCACAAATGCCTATGTTGGTGAAAACAACTGATATTGGTTCTGCTGATTTTTCTGTAAGTAAATACTGTGTTTTAAAAACTGAACTTTCAAATTGGCAATACATAGGCATTTTTGAATTGCCATAGAAGTTCATTATATGTTATGATACGACCAAAAAACAACAGAAAGTTATAAATAGGGAGATAAATTATTGTTAGCACTCCCACATCAGCACCTCTGTCAGTTTCACTGGAATCTGATATAAGTTCTTGAATCTGAAAAGACCCCACCCCAACAGTCCTCCTTTTCTAGATATATGAATCAAACTCCTTACAGTCCTTCCTATGAGTATAAACTTCAGCCATCAAACTCGGAATCCTGGAGGATGCAAATGACTAAAAAGCTGAGTCTTTAGCCAAAGGTCAGAGATTCAAGTCTACAGGAAGTACCTTGAAAGAAAGGCCTGGTGATCTACTCCTAAAAAGCCAGTCACTAAAAACCCTATTGAGCACAGTTCTACTCGGACACACAGGGTTACCAGGAGTCAGAGTTGACTTCATAACAACTAGTTAGGTCCTTGTTTTCCATCAAACTCACCAAAGAACACAACTCCCACTCTCTTTCCCTCTGTCTACTGTTTTTTTTTCTTCAAGGGCCAGGACTTGGATCAGGGGAGAGCTCATCCTAAAGTAAAATCCATTTCACTTTAGGGTATTACCCTGGTGATCCCCTGAATAAGGCTGATACGTCAGAGTTTCAAAGTAGAAGTGAAGTCT